GTATGTACTACAGGTATGTGTTGGGTTGCGGTATGACTGATCCGGTGGCTTGGCGAGAGGCAAAACGAAATACACACGATGAAAGGCTGATTCTTCAATGATTTCCACCTGTGACTTCAGCGGGCCACCCTTCCACTCGCAATTAGCGAGAAAACTGATCCAGGATAAATTCGATTTTTTACCGAATGGTGAATGCACACTCGTAGCGAACAAAACACGGCAAATCAGGAATATCGTGTATTTCTTCGTTCCGCGTTTTATTTTCTCATCTGCTGATTGACACCGTTTTAAAACGAGCAAATTAAGTGCCAAGTGGAAAGCATAGGAATAATGAGACAGAGGCATAGAATCAAAACCAAAGGGGAAGAAAAGAAAAAAAAGGAGCAGAACAGACGTCTGTGTGACTAGAATCGAAAGCGAGGATATGATTCGTATAAAGATGATATCCGCTGTTTCACGAGTCGCTGTGTAAAGTTCAATGCAAACAAAGATAATACGTAATCCCTCGGACACTGCATGTTGCACGGTATAGCAATTGTAGCAATTCGCTTGAAACGGGAATCAGTCCGAAATTAAACAGCTTAATGCGATAACACGAGCCTGAAAAAGAACTGTCCTCATCCCCCTGGTCTGTTCATCCTTTGCCTTTGCGAAACGGATAGAACTCGACCGACCGGCATCGGTGCATACCAAGAAACATTTTCTACTGGCTCGCAAAGCCCGTGCGCAACAGACAATAGCGTTACAAATAAATCTGAGCGAGGAGCAGGGCTGGCTGTTGTTGTCCAATCTTTTCAGTTACGATTCTATGCGGATCACTGCACTCGGGGTCCCCCGCGCGGGTATCCTGAATATATGGGTGGTCGATACACGCAAGACAAGGCCAGCTCAGACCTGGCTACCTGGACGCGGCTGTGTTTGCGGCCAGGTAACCCACCCCGTGCACAGGAAGAAACGACAGAAGGGAAGAAAAAAAAAAGCGGACGTCGCAGTGGGTATCTGTTCGTGGCGTCGGACAGTCTACCCTCCAGCATTGTTGCGGCTTGTCATCGTGAGGGGGTGCGAGCCAGGGGTGACCACCGGGTGAAAGGGCGAGGGAGAGGGGGAGAGGGTAGAACCGGTGGTGTATAGGTGGGCTCGGAAGGGTTCCTCAAAAAGCTGGAGAGGAAGGTGGCGGTACTTAGGTACATAGAACGCGAGAAGGGAACTCGACGACCAAGTAAATATGCGACAAGTTAGCGTCCGCGCATAAATCTAGCAGCGTTCACGGTGACAGGTCACGCAGCGGAGACTTCTAGTTTAGATCGCCACCCGTTTACCCGCCTCATTGAAGGCGCACACGTACGGGCATGTTTCAGGCCCAGCTGCTCGTTCGTTCACGGAATCTCGGAATTTTATGCGTCCCCGCGAGGACGAGGGGTCGCAGACCGCAAAAACCCGATGCCCGTAGACGAATATCGGGTCGACGGAGGGGCCAAGAACCTATGGTGGCCGACCGTTCTCGTAAAATCGGTGTCGTACAATTAGGAATTAAACCGATCGTCGCTCGGGAGAGGAACACTTGGAAATGGGATGGCCAAACGTCAGGACGAGGATCGCGTGCGGACACGTGGTATTCGCGTTGTTGTTCTCGTCGTGGTTCGCCTCAGCCGAGCGGTGGTGGCGCGGATTAGCGCTGGCAAGCGGGGAAAACGAAGGAGGAAAGAAAGAAACGGGGGAGGAAAGAGCGCAACGACAGCGACAGTGACGACACGACGGTGGTGGCAGTTTTCGCGAAATTGCTGGGTTCACCGGCGTACGCTTAACGGGTACCGGATAGCACGGAATACGAGTGGAGTACGGAGAGCGAAGCGTGCAACGTTGTGTTGGTTAACGGTGGTTGACGAAGATAGGGCTAGGTGGTCGAGCCGTATACGTGCAGGGTCGCGAGACGGTGTACGTGTATAAAGCACAGGTAAAGGGGTGCAAGTGGCGCGACGGGGCGAGCCGCGCTAACTTCTCTCTGCAAACATGGCAGTCGTCACGCAAGTCGCAAAACCCGCCAACGATATCGCGGCTTTCGAACTCGCCAACAAATACTAGGAAAACGAGTATTCGAAACCTATTACACGCAACGGCTGGCGACTGTCGTTGTTGCTTGACCGATAAAACCTTTTCCCTCTAAAAAGGGTCGCCAACTGTTTGACGACGTTAACCGATCAATTGACGGTAGAATAGCGTACATTGATTTTTTAAATAAATCAAGTTTTTATCGTGATCGTTCTCGAGACAGAATTCTTACTGATACCATTTCACTTTTCCGCGCGTGTTAAAGTTTTTGTTAAGCACCCGACGACGTTTGCCGAGCGTAAAAAACGATTTCGCTGGCACGACACAGACGGAGGGTCGCCTGCAAGAAGGATTGGAACCAGATCTCCGTAGGCCTGCAACGATACCCCAGCGCAGAGCAGAGGCGTAGTCGTCTAAGGCCCCGGCGCAAAATTGATTTCATTATCGATAACGGAATTGCCGATCGAAAGGGCAATACGCCAGCGTCGAGATTACTGCTATTCGATCTGATCGGTGGGAAAATAATATCGGTTTCTTGGATGAAACAATAACGACATTGCCTTGTTTAACTAAACACGTGATGCTTCTTTTTTACCTCGTACTTAGGAGTTGGAGTTATACGAATGTTAAACAAAAAGAGAAACGAATCCAGAAACAGAATTGTGTAAGCTAAAGGATTAAATTGTACACAACGGAATTTATTGCACGTTAACGAGACACGAGGTGCGGTTTCTTTTCTCCGAAAGACGTGTTCATTCATGCTTTCGTCATGATGCACCCACCAAGCCGACTACATATCTACTTTCTCACCGACTCGATATGTAAATCGTGGAGGGCAAGCAGAGCATATGCAGGCCAATGTCCTGGCCGGTTGCGCCATTGGGATCGCCGGGCCGAGCCGCGCGTCGTGGGATCTTCAAGGCCGACAATTGCTCAGCTTTAGTCCTCTGAATGGTGTTTCGCAAGAACGACCCATATAACGAACTTGACGCGACGCGTGGCGCCCACCCTCCTTTTGATCTCTCTCGGTGAAAGGTGCTCTCTCGCGAATTCTCGAGGACGCTCGACCGTTTTATCGCGAGTTCCCTTTCTCCTGAATATCGCACCGTTGCATTGCGTTTCGGAGAGCGAGCGAGAGCGTGCGAGCCTCGCCTCGCCTCGCCTCGTGTCGTGTCGGATCAACCCGCGCCTTCTGCTGCACTCGTTGCAGCGGCACCGATACCCTATACCAGCGGAAGTCCCCGGGCGTGAGATACCGCGAACACGCCGGAGAATGCCGCCCCGTAGACTCGATATCCCCGTGGCTAGATTCGATCACGTGGCCCGTAAGCTTGCCGTGGAAGTAATTACAGCTGTACTTACATTCCGCGGGTACCGAGCAAACTGGTTTCGAGAGCCTGGGACTTTGTGGCCACGGCCGGACTCGATTACCTCAACGCTCTACGGAAATCATATTTTGCAAAACGCCTATGACGGTATGCTAACGCTTCAACGACACCTTCATCGGCTGCTTGCCTGTATAAAAGGGTATAGAAACGGTCGCATATAGACTGATTCATAGACAACGAGAAAAGAGATTCTATCAGCACTTAGGCTAAACTATGCGCTTAAAACTTTACGTACGAACTTTTTCTCGCTCTTGTTTCATTTTCTACACCTACTACCGAACTCCGGTGCACGTATTGGATTGTACACCTGGTATAAGTACGTTGTACTACCGGTTTTATATAGTTTAAAGTATTTCAATCGTTAAGTAGTTAAGGGCGAAGGGAAGCATTTATACGTATAAATTTGAAACTTTAATCATTTCGCTACAACATAAAATGACTGACGTTTAAATCACGGAAATCACGTTGCAGTGACTTTTGTGATTAGTCTGCAACGCAGCGAACCTGATACGCCTGAATACTATATCAAAACTCTTTTTTTACCTTCTCTCTCTGTTCGTATTTTAAACGATTTGAGTACTAAACGACACGGACGTATCTGATTTCAATTGCGCGAAATGTTGGCATTACCTGAAATCGAATATTCTGGTTTTTAAATAAAATTTCCTGACAGGATGGCCGCGACGTTGGGGAACGGTAATGGGAGCGCAGTTCGGTCGTTTGTCTGTTTGTCGAAAAGAGAAAAAGATTTTTCCAAATAGAAACATTGGTCTCTTGTGGTGGTGCGCGCAGCCTGCGGCGGTGGTGTAGGCGCATTAATAATGTAAGTGTGCAGATGGTGTGCAGTGAGTGCGCGGTGGCGCTGACTAGGATCAATGTTCCGTTCGCGATCCATATAGTATATAACTACGTACATACAGCGTGTCTATGTGTATACGTACACGTATGTAACACGACAACCGGGCCTGTACGAGAAACAACACCGTTACACGGGTCATTTCGACCGAATATATTTGCAAATATTCTGATCAAACGCGTACCGATGGAATATGTATTTGAAAACAAGCATACGCGGCGCATAACGTAGCGCACGATCAATTTTACTCGACCTGCATCCCATCGGTCTCGTTTGGACGATGCCGAGTAAAATATGGCGGCAAAAATACAACATCAATGAAGATCGGTGGAAAAAAAGAAAATCCAGCCACCCGTTCGGTGGAAAGTAAAACGTGCACGTACGCGTGTTTGTCGGATCATTGATACGTGCGTTATGAACTTATTTTAATCAGTCAAACGCTTATGAAAACGGAAATGAAAAACGCAAAAGTATTTTTATCCGTTTTACAATAGAACTGTGTGAAAACGTTATTACCGAGTAAACATATAACGAAATGCTAAGTCTACATCCTTTTCAATAATTCAGCATCCATATTCGCTGGATCAGAATGAAATAGAAATCGCAGACAGTCGAAATGTGTTACATCTTAATATCTAATCACAGACATTAAGCAAACGGATCGATCGGGAAACGGCTGGCAGTTCGGGTGTATGCTCGCAAGCATGTGTAATAACGTATTTTATAAATTTATTCACATGATTTAAATAAATCAAGTATACAGTTAAGTTTTACGACACACGCGCAACTCTGTGTCGTCGTTCACAGTATCGCAAGCGCATGCTTTCCGGTTCAATTTCATATTTTCTCACTCATTCATTATCGCTTTCTTCATCCATGTTTGTATCGCGATTTAGTTCTCCTTCTCGTTTCACCGTTTCGTCCTCTTCCTCTCCAATCTTATCCTTACGCGATTAATAATATTTTACACGAGGCGACGTTGGATATAATTACATATTTACATATCGTACAGCGTATCATCAGATCGGACATATAAAATTACAAAAAGTCATCGTGACTACCTAGATGAAAAATTCAAAATCGAGAAGCTAAAACACTCTCTCTCTTTCTACGAGGTGAAGAAGAACGTAAAATACGTCCGAGTCGACGGCGATGTAATATGACGTACCGTTCTCTCCCTTCGTAATTTACGTATATGTATAGTCAGTATTTATATGTGTATATATATATATATACAATGTATACATTAGGTACACATACATTGGTACAAGCGTCGGAGCTTGCGGCCAATATTTACATATTGCGTTCTCGTTTCCCTCCCTTGTATTATATTATATATACATATAACAGATATGTACACGCGTGTGAATATAAATCGTCTGTTAAAGACGATTTTCCTGGCGATTCCGGGCGCAAAGGAGATGGCATGTTTATACATATATACTCTTTATTGCTCGATGAAAAATCGTCAGGTGAAGTGGGAGTAGAGGGAGTTGAAGAGTCCCAGTCGAACTAGATTCTCGCGAGACGCCATTCAGAAAATTCGCGTCGTACAGTCTGCGCGCGCGCAATCTGTCCGCGACACAGGGAGAAAGGTCTCTGATATTGAGGAAACTATGGAATAGAGCGTGTGTACGTGTGTGTCTATGTGTATGAGAAAGAGAGAAAGAGAATGAGAGAGAGAGAGAGAGAGAGAGAGAGAGAAGGGGGGACATTGAGGGAAGAAAAAGGAAAGGATAGAAAAAAGGGGGAAAAGCCAGGAGTGGAAAAGTGAACAATCACGCTTTTACCGTGGAAACAAAGCAGGAGCAGTGAACGCGTTTCACGAGAAAAGAACAAGAACTCGTCGCGAACAACACAAATATTTCCAAAGTAGTCGTGGAATTATATGTACTCCGGGCTAATATCGCGCGTTCTCTTGTCTATCGCGAAACTATTATACATACACACTAATATCTCCACGTGAGCACAGCCCGTGAAAAGGCGAAAGCTCGACGACGATCTTTCGAGGTACCGTAAGTAACAATCGTTTTCGAATTCCCTTAAATATTATTAGCTTAAGTAACCTTAGATACTTGATACACGAATTCAAGTTAGAAAATATATCTTTCATTTATCAACTATCCAAGATTATCACGATCGTTCGAGCAGGACGCTTGACAGCGTGGAATCACGCTAACACACTCCCGCTCCTAACTAATGATATCAAGAACGCATCTAGGATTTACGCAGAAAGACTATATTGATAGTCATTAGTTTTGAAAACACTGCTAAACTGACAATCAGAGAAACGGAAGGAATTTAATCAATATTGTTTGATACTCGCAACAAAAATAGATATCTTTGTAATTCCTGATTCTTATTAATTGAGTTCTGCAGCGCAGAAATTCCCTGATATCGATTAGAGTAGGTACTTATCTGAATTTTTACTAGAACCGCAGTATGATTAAGAACAGATTACATTTCGATATGAAACTGATGCATCGAACATCCGAAGAAAGGATATGAGCTGTCTTCTTATCGATACGATCCGACGAATTGAACTTGACTCAGACGTTCACCATGCGTCTTAACTTTTATCAACCGTGCTGATACTCGTGGAGCGGGGGTGTACGCGTCCACGTGAAACAATTCGGTATGCACAATACCGATCCGCGGCCATTGCGGTGTAAGTGAACACAAAAAGCGAGACAAGCTTCGTCCTTTCGCGGGAACACGAATACAGTATCACAAGCAGAAGAATAGAATCGGCGCGAAGCTAGACGAGATAGGCCTGGCCGGATGACGGCGGCGGCGGCGGCGGAGGCGGCGGTTGTTGCTGCCTCCAGGCGGTTCGTTCCAGCGTCGAGTAATCCGAGTCGATGGACGAGTATATGTGCTCGGAGAGCGGTCTTCTGTGATCCTCGCTGCTGCCGCTGGTGACCGTGGTGTTCGCGGCGATGAGATTGCTGCTCGGGACGGTGACCGCATCCCGGTAGGCGTGATTGACGGTCAGCCTCGGCTGCGGGGACGAAGGCGTCTGTTGTTGCGGCACAGAGCCGCAGGAATAGGCTGGCGGTGCGTGTTGCAACATCAACGCGGTCGTTGGCGACGAGTCTTTGAAGAGGGCACGCTGCCGTTCTTGAGCGCGGAGCGTTGACATGCTCGTCATTTTCTCACCGCCACCACCGACACCGTCCAGCGTATAGGTATTGATGTTACGCTTGTAAACGAGCGGCGACGACTTGCTTTCCACGGATATGTCGCCTATGGTATGACTGTTCGCCGATGGTATCGCGTATCGAAGACGTTCCCAGAACCTCTTCTCGCCCCACGTGAGGATCGCCGCCGCGTTTCGAAGGTACGGCCGCAGTTCCGGATCGCGTTCCATCTCCGGACAAGCGTGGCCAGCTTGTACGATGATCAATTGCGCTGCTCGACCGCGTAGCGCCTCGTGAAGCGCTGCGCGAAATTCAAATCGGGACCATTCGGTTTGTAAGAAGTTACGAGTCAAAACAATCAACACGCGTCGCGACGCGTCTACCGCTTCTAATACGACCGGCGCTGGAGCGGAAGCACGGAGCACGCAGGGGAGGTCGCGGTGATGCAAACAGAGTCTGAGGCCCGCGGTGCCGTGCTCTAGTTCCACGGCCAAAGAATGTAATACGAAGTCTTCGTCGTTTGGACTGTAGCAAACGTAGCAATCGTAGAGGCGCTCGCGATCTACGTCGCAGCAGGAGGCCATCGGAGCCGCGGACGGCATCGTCGCGGTTCCGCTGGTTTTACCCGGTTTCGTGCGCAGAAATCGCAGTCCGTACTTGGAGTACGCCCAAGCGCCGACCGGCTCGCGGAATATAAACGCGAGGACCACGATCACGAGGAGTACGAGCACCGCGGACAACGTGGCCGCTACCAACGGCAAGTAGTCGGAGACCATGATGCTCTCGATCACGCCACCCTGAGGAAAATCGGAACAGACCGTCTCGTTCACGTTCAATCGGCGCCTATAAGCCGGCCTCGCGTCACCCCCGTAATAGCACCAAACGTCGCTCGCGTCGACCACTTTGTGCGCGTTGTCCGATACCCAGGAGGACAATTCTTGCAAGAATTTGCAGCGACAGGACCACGGATTGCTACCGAGAGACAGTTCAACGAGCTTAGCGTTCAGGGTAACCTGCCAGACCGGGAAGGTCACCAAACGATTCCCGCTGAGTCTCAATATCTCGAGCGAATGTAACGGCAGAAAGGTCAGGTTACCGATAAACCCGATCAGATTGTTCTGTAGGTAGAGTTCGCGCAGGTGGGACAGCCGCTCGAACTCGAAGCCCTTCAACTCCCGTATCCGATTATCCTCGAGGTGAAGGATCTGCAGATTGTTCAGACCGTTGAACGTACGATTCTGTATGGACTCGATGCCGCTGGCGTTCACGTACAGCACACGCATATTCTTCCGTCCTATAAACACGTGATTTTGCAACTCGCGTAACACGTTACCATCCAGGTAGACCTCGGTGGCGTCCATCGGTATACGTCGGGGTATTTCCTCGACGCCGAGGCCGGAACAGTCGACGGCGTTCGTATTCCATGTACGATCGTTGTAGCACTTGCAGCCAGCAGGACAGGTCATCTCGCAGTCGCACGCGTCGAAATCGCAGCAGTGGCAGAGGGCGAAGCAATGCGCCTCGTAACGGCAGAGGAATTGTTCGGACCGGGCAGTCGAGGCAGGCACGACGGCTACGCCACGTGGCCCGGACGTAAGGCACATCACGTTGTCCAGATCCATGATGCGTGGATATTCCCTGGTCGAGGTCTGATTGTTGATCGCCGGGAGCCAGTCCATCGAGCAGTTGCAATTGAATGGATTACCGCCGATGTAGAATTCAGGTAGCGGCCGGTCCTCCGGTACTTTGGTCAACAGCAGCGACGTCAGCTCCATCGTTTCGATCGTGTTCGCGTACATGTCGACCCTAGTCAGATTCACCTTATCTCTGAAGGTGTTCGGTCGCACCACGCTGATGTTGTTATTGTTTATGAAGAGCAACTCGACGCTGTCCGGCACCGACATCGGTGACAATTCAGTGATATTGTTATGACTCGCGTCCAACGTTTTCACTTTAGAGTCGCGAATCTCGTAATAGTTGCCCAGACTCTCGATGAAATTCCCGTGTATGTCCAACCATTCCAGATTCCCAGGGATGAAGGCGTAGTCGAACCATTCGATGTGATTCTCCGATAAGTTCAGTAACAACAGACTGGCGATGCTGGTGAATACGCCGTTAATGTTCGAGAGTATGTTGCCGTCGAGCCGGATCGCCTCGAGTCGCATGTTCCGCTCGAACGCGTATCTCTCGACGTGTTGCACCTTGTTCCTAGCCAGATTCAATATTTGTAGATTCGGTAAATCCCAGAGCATGCCGCGCGACAGATTTCCGATATCGTTCCCGATCAAACGCAGACCCGTGAGCTGATCGAGGTTGCGGAACGAGCCGTTTCGAAAACTGCTGATCCGGTTCTCGCCTAGGTCTAGGTTCTTCAATAGCGCGAGGTCGCGCAACGAGTCCGGCACGGACGTAAGCTCGTTACGGCTCAAATCGAGTTCCTTCAGGTCGGAACAGTTACGAAACGCGAGTGGGTCGATGCTCACAATCGAGTTGCCGGATAGCGTGAGCTGATTCAGGACGAAAAGACCGTTGAAAAGTTGCGCTCCCACGGTGTGCAGCTTGTTATCGGAGAGCTCGAGGGTGTGCAGATTGTAAAGAGGGAGAAAGGCGTTGTTCTCGATCCGATTGATCAAATTGTTTCGAAGATCGAGTATCTGTAGGAAGAACAGGTCCTTGAACATACGGGCGTTTATGTGCGTGAGCATGTTGTAAGACAAGTCGAGGACGATCAATCGTATCAAGCCGACAAAGGTCGTGTCGTCGACCCGATTGCTGCCCAGCCGATTCCCGGCGAGATTCAGTACTAGCAGCTGCTCGAGCCGAGTGAATATACCCCTCGGCAGGTCGCGGAGCCCGTTGTACGCCAGGTGTATCTCTCGAAGGTCTCTCGTACTGGCGAACAAACCTTCGGGCAACGAGTCCAGAGAATTATAACTGGCGTTAAAGGTACGCAGCACGGTCAGCCCGGTGAGCGCGTCACCGCCAATTTCGACGATCGCGTTTCGCTGCAGGTGCAGCTCTTGAAGCTGTCGCAACCCTACCAACGGGCTGTCCTCTTGCAAACGTTTAATCTCGTTCCGTGACAGGTCTAAGATTCGTATATCGGCACGGCACGAGGGCTCCTCGCTGCCGCCGTCGGAAACGTTCCCGTCACGACGATCCAAACCAATGTCGTTCAAGTCCCGCAAATGATTCCCCGTCAGGTTCAACGTTTGAAGATTATCCAGTCCGCAGAGCGTGTTTATCGGTAACGCGTGCACGTTGCTCTCGACGAGCTCGAGCGTGTGCAGTTCCCGTAAACCGAGAAACGAGTCAGGCGCGAATTCGAGAAGACGATTCGCGCCCCACGCGCCGTTGAACGTCTGCATCGTCAGTTTCTTCAATTCGAGCAGCGGCTGGAAGGCGGCCGCCGGGATCCGCAACACTTTGCATCCGTGCACGTGGAGCTCGTGCAAGCTGGTCAAACGCTGCCAGCTCTGCGCGTTGAAACTGCTCTCGAAGTGATGGACGTCGCTGCATCGTATACGCAGCTTGAGAGCACCGTCGAGCGATGCGAACAGACCGGTGATCGCGCCGGGGTCCAGCACACGGAGGGTGCAGTTCGCGGACCGCGTGTCGTTGCCACCCTCGGACGACCACTTGCAAGAGTCACCACCGGCCGACGATTCCGATAGTATCGTCGATGCGAGACAAAGAAAGGCCGCGTTGATCAGCGTCATAAAAACATATTTAGCTCTCATCTTGCGTGACGGCGGTTGCGCGCGGCTTTTCGGTGTTAACTCTACCCCGAGAGGACGGATACGCGATCGCGGCACCACCGATTATTTCGGATATATCGACTCTCTACGTGTTGTCACGTATCACTTACGAATTCCGACCGAAACGATTTTTTCACCCTTTCTCACCCCCTTTCTCACGTAAACACTCGCGCAGCGATGACACACGCACGCACATACACACGCGAGCGAGTGCGAGCGCGCGCGCGCTCATGCACCTCCTATCACGTAAGTACGGACCGGCCCATTTCGTCTTGCCCTTTATTCGTAGGCCGGTGGCGATGCACCCTGCCCTGGCACGCTCCACCACCGTTTCCTCTCACTCGTGGTCTTCCAAAAATTGGAACGTTCCTCCGCTGGGAAAACCCGTCCGTTACTACCCCCACTGTCTCTCGAACAATTCGCTCCCTTTACCTTTCGGTCACTTCAACCCTTTCGCTCTTTATCCGTTTGTATGCACGCGCCAACGTTTTATACACGGGCGCGCTGTCGCGACAGGTACTAGTACGACCACGGTTCGACGAAACGACAAAACGAAAACAGTTAGTGCGAACCCCGTATAATACGCGAAGCGACCGTGCACCACCGTACACTCGCCTCGCGTCAAGCACTAGCACTGATCCAGCAGACCGCTGACCGCGCATCGCATCATCGGCATTCCCGACCGTACGTACCCGACTTCCCCTCCTGACGCTAGAGTGCACCACTTTACTACCAAGTATGCTGCAAGGAACTCGCCGCACGAAGAAGAACAGAATGTAAAGCATGGCGTTCATACTGTACGTATGCGCGTAGTTCGTAGCGTGTGTCGTACACACGTGTATCTGCATATGTAGCATATACATACCTATTGCAAATCGCGAATGCGGTCCTTGGTATGTGCACCGGTTTCACCCTGCTCGCCGCCAATTGGTGCACTTTTTCTCTACCCTAATTATAACGATTCTATATGCCAAGTTGTTAGGGAACGCTTTGCTTTCAGCGATCCAATGTGATAAATCTTCGGAAGAATGCTGTTTTATATATATTTAGATTCTAACAATCCAATATTGTTATTGTTTCAATTTAAACAATTGACAAGAATATGCGTCGTATTTTATATCGACGTAAATATAATTTTGAAAATCTCAAACTGTTTCTTATTTGGCTTGATACTTTTTTCTTATAAAAATAATATAACATTCTCTGTTCGTGTTCATCCATATTGAATTGCATAATATTCTTTTGCAAAAAGACAAAATTCTAAAAAAATGTATACAACATTGTAGCATATACGTAACACGTATTAGAAGGACGACTCTATGTTGAAATAGGGAAACAGGTGTTGGGCAGCCGTACAAATAATGTATACGGTTTTAACACACGGGTTGATCATATTTTTTGTTAGCGATAAACCAGAAGTGTTTCTTCATATACATTTTGATTGTACACAAATTTGTAAAGCATCTGAAGACTAGGGAATGTATTTGAAAAACGAAATTAACGTGGCGTCGCTAGTGTCTTTATAAAACATAGGGTTGCAATTGGTCGAGGCCGTCGCTAGCGACCACAGTTCCACCAGTTCAATTTCGACGACAGAAGCTTACGTTGCACGCTCCTTGTTGTTTGTAGCAAGGATTCCGTTCGTCAACATCTGATCATTTCCGGAACAGTGTACACTTGTTTACGTGATCATTGAAATTGTTCTTATCACAAAAATGAGGGTAATACATATTGTCGGCGTCCTGCTGGCGATAACAATATGTTCCATCGCGGGTAACAGTGGTAAGTAGATGTAGTATACTGCAGTGTAAGTACTTGCGTACATCCGTACTCTTGCTGCCCGTTTGGCTATTACTAAACGCTGATGGCCATTGTTCGCGCGCTTAGAATGTATTTTCTCGGTATATCTCGTGGAATACCGAAAAGAATAGCGACACGTATGCAGCTAGATAAAGTGAAAGAATGATCTTGTATAATTATTCTCACGGTACGAGACCGCTTGACATTTTTTCACGATGCCCATCCTTGTATTTTCACATCTTGCGTTCAATAATAATTATGCATATAAAATCATTATTAGCGAAGTAGAATATTGAAAGTAGCTCGCTCGTGTTTCAACTCGCAAAAGGACACGTAGTCTAATTTTGCGCACTTCCAATTGCTCACTCACACTACGTTAGACTATACGTTGTTAACTTCTAGAAACATACCAGACTCCAAGATTTTAGGTTTAGAATTTAGACGATCATATAAGTCCTTCGTTTGTCGTTTTTTTCTTATTGTTAAGTGGCTCTGGGCATGGTTTAAGTACGCCGTCTTCAACTGTTATTGATTTCTCGTTTCTGTTTACACGCTTACGCGTATTAAAGGACATTTTGCAACAATTGTACGGAGCGTAACTTCACCATTACGTATATGATCTTATTAATTTTGACAAATCATGTGAAATATTTTCTTACAATACCGTTTATATTAATTATTTACATTTTATGTTACTCGCGAATATTAATTTTAACTGTATGCGTTAAGATCGTTGGTAATAAAATGATAAGCGAAACATCTCGTATCTCATTACATGAATCAGTGTTATACATGTTGGAAGAATATAATTTCCAGATAAAATTACTATCATTTCATTTTAATACACCGTAATTGTTAAACGTTGAAACCTCACTATTTAAGAACGAAATAAATGGAACGGAAGATTTTAATATCATTTGCGTCATTCAAGGATCCTTTCTGTTTTGATGCGATCTCAAAAATAAATTTCTCTTTGTCATTCTCTTCAATATTTCATACGTAAATATTCTATTCGTCTGTATAGAATTGTTGGAACTTTAAACCTGTTTTTCTCGGAATCACTTCTCTTGCCTTTGCGGAAACGATTACAGGAAAGCTATCGGACACATCTAAGTATAATTTTAATAACCGTATAACATTAACCGTATAACATTAATTATCGTCACGAAGAGATCTACGGTCGCACAACGTTGTTCAATCGCTAAAATAAGAATAGAAATAAAAATCTTTTTCAAGATCGATATTTTTTGAGTACGTTCGAAGAAAGCTGTACCACGTTGCACGTGTGTAACGTTAGAAATCGATACGTTACATCATAAAAAGATCCTCAAAAAATGTACACCACTTCTAATCGGTGAGGTAGAACGGATCTTTGAATTAAATATATATTAAATATTTCTGTGTTAAAAAAATTATGTCGATTCTCTGTGCAGCTGCTGCAATAGAAGACGCTAAAGTCACCAACCAACAGCAGGGTGTCGTTGCCAATATTACTACTGTTCCTGCTGGGTCTACTTCAAGTCCAGCTGTGGTAGACAAAATTAACACCACTGCTACTAATCCCACTACTAACACTACTAGTGGCTCAGCGACTACTCCTACCGTTATTCCTTTTATCAGTACTATAAGCACCGTTATTACTGATAAAACAACAAACAATACAACTAATGTAACTACTCCAACCACTAAAATTCCTGTACCTCCAATTACGGAAACACCTACGAATACGACTACTGAAAAACCTAAGACGACGACTACAACTTCGACTGAACACCCGACTACTAACGGTACAGTTACCACTTCACCTGTGCCTGTAACGACTGCAATTCCAGTGTCAACAAAAGAAGCACCGTCAACACCGTCTCCTTATAAAGAACGACACTTTGATGGCCTTAGCTTTATGGGTGAGCACTCCATGCCGATGATTTATGTGCACTTTTGTTGATGATGATGTTTGATTTATGTTACATTTGTAATTCCTTCTTTCCCGAATTATTTTGTATTCATCATTAAACGGTAGAATGTACGAAAAACAATAATTCTATTTTATTAGTAAGATTTCAGATACATATTTAAATTTACCTGATCGAATTTCATTTATTCACTAACGATCAGCAACGTTTTAGTTGGCACTATAATGAATTAAAAAGGAATAAATAATTAATAGAGGAAAGAAAGAATTGAAAAAATTTTGTTACGATTGAATAACGATCTGACCTTACCCTTTTTCAGGTGGAATTATTCTAGCTACGTGCTTAATGGCGATCGGTGTGCTCTCATGGAAATTTTATAGAACGTTCAACGAACGAAACTACCGCACGCTATGACTGTCCAGTGAGGCAGTTCGATTCTCGAGTGGCAGCCGCTCGAAACGAAATCTATGAATTTTATCATAACAATATTGCGTATTTTTATAACGCACTTAAGTGTCGCGTGAGTTAAGTGCTCTTAGTAATGTGATGTGCAAACGCAAATTCCGTTTCTTTGTACCCGATTACTATCATACAAAGACGACACGCATTATAGTATTGTCTCTCTGTACGTTCGCACGCGCATTGTAACGGCGTATGTCCGTAGGAGCAAGAAAGAAACAGGAAAGGGACGAATACGTTGCCGACGTGTAAGGAAAATAAAATGGGGAGAGATTGGAGAACGTAAATAGACGTCGTGAGAGAGAGAAAGAGGAAGGAAAAGGTGGCGGTTACTGTGCGCGTGCGTTGTTCACGCACGAAACTTTACGACCAATCGAACACACATTCCATCGAAAGAGATCAATTCCGCAATATTAACATTCCACGTAACACTTCTCGCTCAAACAAAAATATATTTCGAGGAAACACTTTCTTCTTAATTTTTTTCTTTTTATTATTGTACTCGTTTGTAAACTATTGTCAAATATTGACAATATTGTATGTCAAAGACAATGGTGAAATTAGCATAAGGACGGTGAAACGTACACGGATGTAAAGGTTCCTATATGTGCGTATTCGTATAAAAACATATACTCAAAAAAAAAAAAAGTTCGATTAACAATTGAAGAGTGTAACAGTTATGTCAGTAACTCTATTTTGTCTTGTTTCGATGATCTTCGACATTTTCTTTATCATGGGAGTTGTATTTTACTCTTAATTTTGGAACAGAAGGATATTTCCAAGAATGCATACGCCTTTCGTACGTGTAAATTATCGTTGCTCCGGTACTTGCCTTCATCGCATAATATTGTTTTTGAGAAATGTTCATACGATTCAAAAATAGTATGAAACTGTTTAATTTGGCCTTTTGTACCTGTCGAGAGAGACGTAACTATAAAATACACGAATCGAGACAGATTCGAAGCTGGCTTTTAGCGTACGAAAATAAATCACATGGTAATCGCTAATGTACGTAACAATCAAATAAAATCTGACGAGTTCTGTATTGTTGTCACGATCAAGATACGTATTATTTAATTTTCCGTTTGTCAAAGTAAACATTTTATTTATTTTTTTCTCATTGATGACCGTGAAAAAAATTACCAATGTGACGATGGATGCACCGGAACTGATAACAGTAGCTCCTAAAACTCCCTCAGTGGTTTCTAACATGTTCAACAGATGTTCAGTATCATCCGATAAAAATTTCAAGTATTTACACGCGGTACGATTATTTTGCCATATGAGCTCTCCTATAATGTGCATTACAAACGTTTAACTCGAAATTTGTATCGAGTCGCTCGACGACGCGACGAGCTAAGGCACTTTTCAGGAAAAAGGTGTGCGGTAACTAAGGGAACTAACATTCGAAATGTATTGATTAAAACTCAAAATCGATGACCTATTATCGTAAGAGAAGATATATAAATATACGTAAATGTTTAAAAAAAAGTACAGCCTAAATAATATATTGTATTTACGTTTCGTGTAATATTTTAACAAGCTATGTAAAATAATTGCTTATATTGATTATCTTATACGACATTATTACTACGCAATGGAAAATATCACGTTGTTAATCAAACTGAATTATACGTTGTCTGATTCAATACCCAATTTATTCCACTGTTCCTTTTCGATAGCGTCAGTCATTTCCGCTATTCTTCTATCCTTATCGATCACCCCCCTGACCATGTCCATCGTTTCCCGGGCGAATAAAAGGTCCATAATACGAAGGATACCGTCCGGATGCGTACGCCACCGAGGCGTCGTGTTCATCACGGTCATAATCTCTTTGTAGCGTACGTCGTTCAGGTACAAGAGTCTTTTTTCAGCTTCGCCCAGCTCGATGAGGATCAGTTCGACGTCGATGCCGATCCAAGGATGTTCGAACACGTCGAGGTTCCGCGCGTCGACCGCGTAGATCTTGCCTTCGCTACCGATAACCGAGGTAGCAATGTCTGTTATACGAACTTTGTAAGTGCCCGTCGCTATTTTTTTCGCCAAGACGCAGGCCAACGTTTTCTCCATAGTATTCCCCACATAGGTGTTGGTCATCGCTTCGAGAAAAGTGAACAGCGCAACGACAAGGGAGGATTTGCTTCCCAGGCCTCGTTTTATCGGCAATGTGCTGGCGATCACAATTTGAAATCCAGGAACGTGTGCTGTTGACAATATCGATCGCGTCCCATAGGTATTCCCTATTTCCTCGCATTACACTCGACTAGTGCTACACAGCAATGTTTCTTAATATTTTATGACCTTTCATGTCTGCTTTTTAAAAGGCAAATAACCCGTGACTCTCCCATCTTTCATACAAAAAATAAATATTTTCTGAAGTGAATGTTTTGTTCAAAGATTTCCTCGATAACTTTCCATTCCGTTTATTTGCTCGATTCGTGAGATAATAAGATTTTTAAATGCATGGCAGCGAATGCATCAAAGACCGCTATAAAAAAAATGGGAGTAAATGGAACAGATGTGATACCTCGCCTCGACTTGAAACTTCGTATCGTTCCTTTTAAGTAACGCATTAACCGAGTCTCATCCGGCGACACACGCAAAGTTTCATTACTTAAACGAAGCTCGACACTCTCGCCGTTGCTTTCGTCCGAAAGTGTTTTAACCTGACACCATTTACTGCCGTGGCTGCGTTTGCCAACTATCAATGTGACAAGTTGAACGGCCTGTTTCATTTCAAGAAAAAGATAAACGAAGCCGTGTATGCACACATACACTATTGTTCATAAGCTTCAGGAGAGTTCGAAATTTTTACCACATATGAGAAAAATAATAATGATAAGAATAAAATTGAATTTACAATTCCTCGCAACTCCAATAATTGTCAGAGGCGTGAAAGCTCGTTACTTCCATATTTTTTAGGTCGCTCACTAGACTCTGATTTTTAGGCTCGCGACGCGGCAACACAGAGAATCGCGTATTCAGCAATTTACCGCAAATGAGAACGCGGCGCAGAACAAAAATGCTTGAATTCGCATTTACATACATGCATACGTACCATGGATAAGGATTTACTTTCCGCAAGATCGGTACACTTGCCGGCTATAGTAAGGCAACCCGGCGCGTATACAGCGCAAGTAGGGAACAGGCCGTAGGAGTTGACAAATTCCTGTTCTGCTTGCAATTTTAATTCATTTATGGTTGGAAAGGTTGCAATTTTTCCAGAGAAATCGTCGTACAGATATGGTTGCACCATTTTATAATAATCTTTCATGAACTGCGTCAAACGTTTACAAAGGGAATAATATACATGTGTATAAAGTATCTCAATAGTATTCATTCTTTTTTAATATGTTCAAACTCTATTAAGTACATTACAACGTCATTATCTGGGGGGATAATCTAGTGAATGAACTTCATAAGTAGTGTTGCGAGTAGTCAGGATTAAAATATGTCGTGTGTTATCTACGAACGATTTTAACTCTCGAGGGGCGTGAAGCTTGTTTTAACGTGTCGTCGGTTTCCGCGACGTGACGGTGATATCACGGTAATACGTACATACGGGGACCGTGGCGAAGGTGGAAACGCGGTGCAAAACGGAAGTTTTTATTCTAACTTTCCTATCCCCGAACAATGGAAGCTCTTACTTTATTGTTCGATAAATTGGCTGGCGTGGAAGCGGTGCACGCCGTATGGATATTACGGGATTTATTGCTCATTCTGGGAAAAGAGTCATCTAGCCGGAATCCGAGTGTATCTGTAGAGCACAGCGTACTTTCGATTTGACATTTCCGACATCCTGCCCGAGAGAATGAAACGCTTGGGCACGAGCTTCTGTTTTCCTTTCTTTTGTCTCGTTCCGCGCGTAATCGAGCTTCGGTGGAAGCTGGGTAATACAGGTACAGTGTACGTACATGACGATAAAAAGATGGCAGATCCTACAAATTAGTTAGTTACTATTTAACGAACGATGTGGATTGAGAATCTAGGATTAAAAGGGTAGCGAAATAAAAATATGTCATTCGAACTATCTCACGCCTTTTATAAAGTAAACTAATTAAAATGCAGTACGTTGTTTCGTGACTCCGATTACAGGCTCTCTATCTCCAGCTGTAGTCATGCTTGTACATACTGTTACAGGCGATAGCGCTACGGAAATTGCGGGATATCGACATGAAACAGCCACAGCGGAGCACGACTATCCGTAGTGTACGATAATGAGTTGTGCGTCACGAACTTTCACGCAATTACGGCATGGAAACCTGCCGGTGACATGAAGATTATGTAAAGCGTATCGAGATTCATCTTATTGCAAGAGAAAGTATAGCCGGTTTGTGCCGTACTATAACGTGTGTGCGTAGCCTGCTTACGTGATTAGATGAAATTCATTTTCGACATACGATTCTGGACGTTTCACTTAGAACCTTTGCTAAAAAAATGCACTTCTCAATTTTGTTGCATAATGAAGTCCAGAGCTAATGTTTCTCCCTATGTGATTTCTAAAATGTATTTTTTTATTAAAAAGTTTAAATAAAAGATAAGCATTTGGTTATTTCATATGTCTATTAATTACTAATCCCAGATGCCCAAATACTCATGATCCATCGTTCAGATCTTCCATGTATCCATTATATGTAATGAAGAAAAATGTTGATTGAAAATAAATTTTTTTCATCCTAACAGAAAATGTTTCCGACCAAAGTTGTAGTTGTAATTGTTGGATACAAAAACGATCCTATGCAATTTCCTTGTAACTCTTCTCATTAAAGAGTAATTGACGATTAATCGGTTAATGGTGAAGTATTCGAGATAGAAGAAAATTGTATACGACCTTTTTTACAGGTAATAGCAGTATCTATAATTTTTATTTGAAGCATTTTTCAAAATTTTGGAAAAAAGGGAATTTTAATTCTTCCGAAATTTTAAGGGATTCAGATTTCTCGAAAGTTTCGTTTATTGTAAATAACTGCTTACTTGTTGCCGTTAGCGAGAAATGTTTCAGACGAAAGTTGTAGGTACTGTTAAAAGCTACAACTTTTGTATGACGCTTTTTTTCTATCGTCAATAGTTAACGAGTGTTTTGCAATAAACTGTTTTTTTGTTTTTTGTCAAATATTCGTAAACTGTCAACATTAGCGAATAATGTATCAGACAAAAATTGTAGCTCTAATTGTCAACTAAAAATAAGGTTGTATGCAATTTTCTCGTAGGTCCAACAGTTTAGGAATATTTGAGGAAAAACGAAATTTTTCACCAAAAGTTTGCTCTTTCGACGCTGAAAATGGCCGGATTTTGTCAGTACCAATAAAACGCCGATTAATCATATTTAAGTCGTTAAATACCAGAGTTAGAAGAAAAATGCATAGAACCTCCCTTGTAGTGGACGTCAGTGCCTACAACTTCTGTATAAAAATTTTTCACTAGCATCAATAATTAATTAATAAATAAAATTACTTATTGTAAGAACTTCTTTTTTGTCCTAACTAAAAATGTTTCAGACAAAAATTGTATCTCTAGCTGTCAGCTACAAATGTTACCGACTTTTTTTTGAACCCCATTGGGCCCATTCGCTGTATTTAACGATTACACGTGCTCTGTCACTCTTTAACAGTGTCTTCTCGGCGCTATGTCTTATTAAATGTAAATTTTTTGAAGTACCGCTGCGACGCGTTGCGGGAAAGAAGCGTGGGAGAGCGAGAGGTAAATTCCAGGGATCGAGATTCGGAGAGCCAGTGGATCGTTCCGGCTGAAAAGAGGCGCAGACGTGAGCCTGACACCGAACAGGGGCGGAGTCCCTGCCCTTCGTCAATAAGAGCACGCTCCTTAGCATCCCTCTATTTCGTCTTCCCGTTTTACGTCAACATCGACGTAGCTCACAGCTTCCTCTTCGCCACCCTTCGTCCTCATTCAAGTCCGCCGCCCGTGTATTCTTCTCTCCGGATCCTTATTTTCTTTCCTCCAAGGCGTGATCAATTAGCTTCTCGCGCTCTTTTTCCGCACTTAAATCGCCGTCTTCCGCTTCTTTCGCATTACTGAAAATTCTTTCATCGAGCGTTCGTCAACCCTCTGTGCGCGCCTCCCCCGTTCGTCCTTCCGCTTGGCCCTCCGGGAACTCCGCGTCTCTCGAAATATACGCGTGCGTTGCGCGGAGGAACAAGTTTTGCCCAGGCGGCGAACGCTGGACTTGGCGACGCGACGCGAGTTGCATCGAGCGAGCAGCGTGTGGAAGCGGAGATTCGAATATGCGCCCAAGGTGAATCCTGATGAACGTGTCATCGATCGGTGGTTGCTGAACCAGCCAGCCAGCCAGCCAGCCAGCCAGCCAGCCAGCGATCCGGTGTGCTCGGTCCACGGCCCGCGAATACGTGCAAAGTAGTCGTGCTGCGAGCAACCCGACTTCGGAACGCTCGCGATCGTTTAACCGAGCGACGATTTTCCCGCGGGATAATCGTTTTCCGGTACCTTCCGGGAGACATCTGGAGAGGCACAGCATCCGGGAGGAAACGGGACGGAGAGATAGAAAGAGACGGAGACGGAGAGGGAGAGAGAGAAAGAGAACTGAGTTTTATCGATTGTCACGGAACGAGATACGAGAACGAAACGTGTGCCGGATTCGAGGGCGGCCGAGATCTCGCGTTGCGACAGTAGGAGAGTCAACCGTGGTGTGCTGGTGAAAACGCGAGTACAATTTTCAGCTGTCAATTCTTACTTCCAAGGGATCGTTTGAGATGAATTTCGCGCTAATCTTGAGCGTGTCCAGTGCTCTCAGCTGATGGTGCTTCTCGTCAGCGAGCGAGCGAGCGAGCGAACAGGGTGGTTCGCTGTTGGGGTGACAGATGCGAGAGGTCGCCGTGGCGAAAGTATGTGATCAGTTTAATGGAACGCGGTTAATAGACGTGCGATCTGTTTGTGTATACGAAGAGACAGTGGGACCACCTGAACCCGATTTGGATCGCCCGTATCCGTAAGTGTCTAATTCTACATCCTCTTTAGCTACAACTAGCTGGATTTTTATTGCAGTTTAAGCGGCATTAGGTCGCCCCATATACGATGCCATTATTTACCGTACATTCTTATCCCATTTCTATCTGTTTAAATGTTTCGAGAAACGTTTTTACTTAACAATATTGTAGCCGCAGAAGAATCTTATCCGCGAATAGTATAGAAATTTCATCTCTTTCTCTTCCATAAAAAGATATGCAGCTACAAGTTGTTCCCCGTTTTATTATTATAACGATTTAACGCATCAGCGATAAATAAACATAGATGTGAGATTATTGATGGTGGGTAGTCTTAAGTACGTATCATTCGTTAAATTATAGTTCAGTATATTGATTTAAAGTACGTAACATCGTCTTAATATCACATTAAGTATGTGGAGAATGTCCTATTGGAGACTATTAATACTTAAATATTTTTACCATCGCAGCCACGCATATATTTTTACTCGCTTTCATATGTAGCTATACTGCGTAACTTTAAAACATCGTCTACCGTAATGTCGATGGCATGTTATCCCGATTATTGGTATTCTAATTCCGTTGCAAACCGAAGAGTCGATCTGAATATTTCAAGCGTTCGTTATCGCGAAGAAATCAAGACATACATTTTTAGAAAGTGAAAAATCATGTTACTCAGGAGATGATCCGACGCTCTAAGTACGGCATCGCAACTTATTTTACATTCTGTCTAAAAGAAATCATGCTACGTAACAATTGTTTCAGTATTGTTTAATTCTAATGAATCTTAAATCTGTACGAACCACGCATGTAAATATTAATACAGAGTCTACGTATCATTCTTATGCACGCTTTGCCGGCATCAATTTCAATCGTATCGTGCAGGACTGAAATGATTGGTCGTATATCTCTTCATTAATTTCCATGCACGGAAAAAAATAAATATTCTAGGTTGCTTCAAATGTATTGACGCCTCAGTTATTGTTCGCGGGTGAAAAGTACGTGAAGTTTATCGAACGCGATTGATGCTCAAGAGGGTGGGAAATTAACTGAGCGAGACGGAAAACGGATCCAATTTGAGGTTTCTGTTTATATACAGATAAAATGGAAGAAACGGCGGGCCACTGTTCGTGACGTGGCGTGATTTATTAAAATTCGATGTCCCAGTACCAAATTCTGTTCGACCTATTTTAGACTCCGTCCGCGAGGCCAATGATTTCGGTCGCGTACTTTTCAAAAGCAAGCAGCACAGGGTTAGATTAAAAATAGCTCAAAGAATATCGGTAAATCATATTCCAAATTGGTCTGAAAATATTTTTTAGTACTACGATAATTATTTTAGAGCGATGGGTCGGTGCACGTGAAACGCGAGAAAGAAAGAACGAGAGAATGAAATAATTATATTCGTCGGGGGTAGATACGCATGTGACGAACGATAGAGAAAGAGAAACGGAAATGAAAATCGCGTCAAGGGTACACTTAATTCGCACTTGCGGGTGTAGTTACGATCGCGATTGAACATACCGGAAAAGAGGGAGATAGTGTTACACGAAGGTAGAGAACGCGGACTGTTCGAGGATCGAAGGGAGTCGTGTCACGAAGGTACGAGACAAAAAGGACGGGGGGACGAACGACTGTGTAGAGAGAATGAGAAGAAAAAACCGTCGTTAGATTGCCGTTAACGACGGACACGAGATTATCCAGTTGAGAGTACGAGATGGATAAAACGATGCAGCTAGTTACTATTCGTCGTTCGCGAGAGTCGCTATCGTTCTCCATCTCTCCTCTCAGACGTATTAGGTTCGTGTGTTGGCTCCATATAAGATATAAAACTTTTATTGGTAGAGAAGCTGTTTGAAAAAGTCTCGAGAATACTTTATGTCAGTCGTTAAATATCGTAAAATGTAGTTCGCTCTCGATTTTTTTTCATCAGACGATGCGGGATTGAAAGATATTTCGCGATTGGTGAAGATGTCGCAGCGCTAATGAGTTATTAATTCCATGGAACGGATGAACTGCAGGAAACTATGCTGACAGATTGTACAACGTCTTCGATCGAAGGTACGTCTGATCCACTAACCAACTGACCACAAGCTGTGAATACGGTCTAATAATGGAACATTTTTATTACCCACTTGATTCCCGAATATGTCACAGTTAACCAAGAACGATTGTATCCACGCTGTCTCATATTACTTCGTTTATAACACAAAGGAAAGTAACGTCGCGGACACTCTTGTATAAATATGAGGAAGATTGACAGCTTGCCATTTATCATTTCTTTAAATAAATACTTGTTTGACACTATGATTGATACTGTTATAGTGACGATATCAAAATTCTTCTTCAACAAAATTAAAAATTAGAACACTCTTTTTTGTCGCATACAGATATAAAAAAACTTTCTCTTTACAACAAGATCTATTGTTCATATTGATTAGGAAAAAATGAGCATTACGCGTTCTGCAATTGCAAATGATATGAAAACGACACTCGGATAAATTTCGCTATTGGTATTACCGTTATGGGAGACGTGCTCGTTATTACCAGTACGCCGGAAATTATGAAATATCGGCGAATCAGTTATTCCATTTCCGCCAATCATCGCCTCGCTCTATCATCTAGTTTCCTCCCCTATCACTGAAGGTAGTTTTCTTTGCTTATGAACTTTGAAATTACCATTAACACGCAACCGTATACAACGTGAATTTGTGAAAACATTTACCTGCATGTTCCAGATAAGACAACGAATTTAACATTCTCATAAAACCAAATTGTACGTTCATATTTTTTTTAGATATTCTTCGTTATAGGCTCAGCCTTTATTTATTTCATTTTCTTCACATCTACGATTTACACTGTACGAACAGACGTAAAAAGAAACCCTTTAATATTGGAACGACGCAGATATTATTATAAAATTCATTTATTCTATCAGCACAGACATAGAACAGTTCGCCTTCAGTATTTTTCAGTTATATTACACGTTCGTCGAACGGTGGCATCCAATCCGTCAATTAACAGAAATGTCTGAACTGAACCGAAACAAATGTATTTGTCAGCATACCGGCAAATACACGTCCGACAAAAATTCAGCATGAGGATATTAGACATTTGTATGCGTATAAATACTTATATTCAAATACATTAAAAAATGTTTATCTAATCGATGCTAAAGAATACGTTCCGTGTCTGTATGGCTAGTGTAAATCGTAACTTAATTTGTAATTGTCCTACAAGAAATTATTTATCGTTTTTANGTACGAACAGACGTAAAAAGAAACCCTTTAATATTGGAACGACGCAGATATTATTATAAAATTCATTTATTCTATCAGCACAGACATAGAACAGTTCGCCTTCAGTATTTTTCAGTTATATTACACGTTCGTCGAACGGTGGCATCCAATCCGTCAATTAACAGAAATGTCTGAACTGAACCGAAACAAATGTATTTGTTAGCATACCGGCAAATACACGTCCGACAAAAATTCAGCATGAGGATGTTAGACATTTGTATGCGTATAAATACTTATATTCAAATACATTAAAAAATGTTTATCTAATCGATGCTAAAGAATACGTTCCGTGTCTGTATGGCTAGTGTAAATCGTAACTTAATTTGTAATTGTCCTACAAGAAATTATTTATCGTTTTTATTGTTACATTTATTAAAGAAGTACCGAAAAGGCTTCCGTGAGTAGTGAAACCGCAAAAAGCTCGAGCTGCAATTATAAATATAACCAGAGGACCGGCGGGAAATCTTTGCCCGTGATCTTCGATGGCTTCGGACACATCCTAATTACTTGTCTCATTTGATCACGCGTATTCCTACGTACCGTGAAGGTTGCAAAAGTTAATATGCACAATTTGAAGTTTTAGTCGACAAACGATGCATATCATAATTTTAATTAAGATAACTAAAGGATAGTTGAGAAACTCTACTTGAAGTTATATTCGAGCCTACTTTTTTATTAATATGTTACGCGTTAGACCTTGGAATTTTTATCCAAGTCCCATTATCGTGTGAACCTTTATCCAGGAAAAGAGAGAAGAAGGTGAGAAAGCGTCGCGTGTGTAATCGTTCCAGGATATATCGAGCCAGGGTACACGAGGAAAGCGCGGAGTAATGACCAGAGGCACGCGGTTTGTGGTGTCGGCCACGAATTTCAGACAAGCGACATGTCAGACTCGGCGTGAATTCGGTCTCTGCTGGAGCCTGCCTTCGCTGTTAAGATTCCTACTCGTTCTCTGTTGCATTACGGGCACGTGTTGTGTTCGGAGAGAGAAAATGCCGCGGACTACTAGTCAGGTGAAGCACCGGTCGTTACAACCGATTGGCCACTGCGACCTGGAGGATGACATGTGCGAATGGTCTTGGAGCCACTCTCCCGGATTCAATAAGACCACGCCACCGGTGCAGAATGCAGACGGGCCCACTGTGGATGCTAGCAATTCGACGACTGGTAAGATGTGTCTCTTACATCGGGAATATCGAGTTATTCGAGGTAGTGAAAGAATTAAGATGGCTTTGAAAATAATTATTGCAAGAAACGCTGCTCTTTTTTCCCTCAGGACATTTTTTATGGTTTACTGGTGAAGGAAGGGTTCAGATATGGTCTCAAAAGATTCCTCCTACTGGATCACGTTGCGAATTGGAGTTAGCTTTGTATCAAATTGAAATGAGGGAGGGGGCGATTAACTTGTTAATAATAAAGAACAATACCAGCTCCGTTACCCCCGCTCGATTGAGAGGAAACAATCATGCGAAGTGCGTAACTCTTCTCTTATTCTCATGTGTTTTAAACTGTAGTTAATTCAAACAAGAATTCTACTGACTAACACATGGCATATATACTTAAATTCAGCAATAAATGTATATATTTACATTATTGACGCATTTGATGTACGACATCGAGGACAGCTAAACAAATTTGACTACCTTGCAGATGGGGGTTAGCGCATTTCAAGCTGGGGCCAATTAGTCAACCACATCAATTACTTCTAGAGATTCTGGTCCCCTACCCAAACTCGAGCATCGCCGTCGATAATATTCGCCTAATTGATTGTTTTCCAGGTAATGTTTCTCCAGATACACACATATAAATATTTGTGGACAAGAATTGATCTCAACCCGAATGTGAATATACTCGCAAGAATGTTCTATGACAATCGTTCAAATTGCGAACAAATTTACTTGCCATGTTTATCGAAGAAAAAGAGTAGGAAAAACGCATTTCGTTTACAGAATCAGTACCGTCGGAGATCGACTGCACGAAAACAAACATGTTCCGTTGCAAAAACGGTTCATGTTTAGACAGAACACGCATCTGCGACTTAACGAAAGACTGCCCTGACGGCGAAGACGAAAGACTCAATTGCGGTAATTTGCTAAATTATTATTCGTCGCTACTTTGGGTTTGCGCTCTCGGTTTTTTTGATGCACGTAATTGATTGAGGGACGTTTTAGACAAAGTACCGGTGGAAGCCAGATGTAATTTCGAGGATGGGTGGTGCGGTTGGAGAAACTTATCAGGAAGACCCATGAATTGGACTCTCCACCGTGGAGCAACGCCGTCTGAAAAGACTGGACCCAGCTACGATCACACATACCGCAATGCGTCTGGTGTGCATACATATACTACAACCCTTTTTCTCAAAGTTCTTACCGATGCGACCTTCTTTCAATTATCTTCTATATAAAGTAACGTGAATTTAATTTTGCGAATTTTGAAGTTTAATATAAATTCTTGTCCACAGGTACCTACGCTTACGTAAATATGTTGCAACGAGGGAAATACGGTAGTCGCGCTACTATCGAAAGTCCAGTGTATAATCCAACACCACCGTACAATGGCGATACGAAAAGTGGTTATCATCAGTCATGCCAAGTAAGTCATTTAAAAACTTTTTATCGGTGGTATAAAATACAGAAAGTGCTGCGGATTACGAAAATGTAAGAAAAGCCAGATATTCATTTTTAAACGGCTTAATTAAAAGAGCGCAACATTTACATGTATTGATTATGTACAGGTACGGTTCTTTTATCATCAATATGGAATATTTAGCGGCGCGCTCGGACTGTTTTTAGTACAGGTGAAACCACCTCATGGTAACATTAGCAAGGCGATATGGTGGTCTTACGGAGACAGGAAAGATGTTTGGTACAATCAGGCTGTCCCCTTACCAGACATCAAGCATAGGTAATTAAAACTACCATTTGATAAAGTTATACATACACCCGCGCTCATTTTGTTTGTTCAGGTATTTTCTACAATTTGAAGCGAACAAAGGGTATTCGTCGAAAGGAGACATAGCGATCGATGATTTTTCACTAAGCCCAGAGTGTTTCGGAATCGGTAATACACCATTTATAGTACACTCTATACCAGAGGTGGTGAACGTGCGGCCTCCTTGTACGATTTCAAATGTTATTTATATTTTAATGTATTCAATCACTTTGAAGCAAGAAGCAAATGCAAATATCCTACTAACTTAAGGATGTATTGGCTATACAGTCAATTCCAAAAGTTTGTGCACTTTAGAAACGCATTCTTTAAAAAGAAATCAGATGTCGGAATAAACAACAAAAAAAAAATTTTCGTTTTCCTTCAATAACTCCTAAACCGTTGGTCCTACGGGAAAAGTGTATAAGATCTTTCTTGTAGAGGACGACGAGATCTACAATCTTCATGTACAAATATTTCGCTAGAGTCAATAGTTAACGAGTAATTTGCAAAAAACTGTTTTTTCGTTTTTCGTCAATAACTCGTTAAATATTAATGCTAGCGAAAAACTTTTACACAGAAATTGTAGATTTCGCCGTCCTCTAAAAGGAAGGTCGTATACAATTTTCCCGTAGATTTAACGGTTTAGGAGTAATTAAGGAAAAATGAAATTTTTTGCCAAAAGTTCGCCGTTTTGACGCTGGGATGGTCGGATTTTGTCAACATCAATAAAATGCCAAATAATCATACGTAACTCGTTAAATATCGAAGTTAGAAGGAAAACAACTTTTATTTGAAGCATTTTTCGCAATTTTGAAAAAAAAAATTTTCGTCAGCGTCAATACTTAATTGGATATTTCCTTCTATACTTTTTAGCACGTAGCTATTTATTATTAGCATTATTCTTCCGACGTCTGATTTCTTTTTAATTATAGGAAATGCGTTTTTCTAAGGTACATAAACTTTTGAGATTGACTGTATAGCCAATACATGCTTAAATTTTTCATTAGATTCTAATAATTATTTTCCATATTATTGCTACGTTAGTTATTTATAACTTAATACTATTATTTATCTATTGTTTATAAAGTAATAAATTTATGTAAAAATTCTTCTACTAATATTGTTTTTATTTGAAGTGGTATTTAAATATGTACTTGTTTATTAAAATTTAAAGACCTGGATGAATATATATATATGATTAAACGAGTAAAAATACCAACAGTGAAATATAAAAGATTATAGCGGTCTCCTTTATTATTGCCTAATTTAAATGTGGCCCGTAGTGTTAAAAAGGTTCCCCACCTCTGCTGCATACGATAGCAGTCGCCTTTATTAAATCGCTTATATTTTCTAATTAATTTAGGAGTTCCTCCTGAGGTCGTCAAAGATTTCAATTACTACAATCCTGTCATAGACTCGGAAAAAATTCCGGATCAACACGCGGACTTCATCAACAAAACTGGTATGACACATACTACGAACGTATGTAATAATAGAGATCGCCGAAATCTGTGTATTTCTCGTGTGGGTTTTTAGTTATACGAATTACCACATGCGGAAACATGGGTAGAACAGGGCCTACGGTTAAACAATGCGCAGAAGAATACAACTCGACGGATATAGAGTTACTTACACCTCCAGCCGATTCGCCAGATCCAGATTCATTCAATCTCAATGGGATTCAACGGTGGACAGCGCCTCGCGGTGGATATTACACGTAAGGATTCGTTGCAAGTAATCTTACACTTTCTCGCAAGTTGTGGAACAGCTAATAAAAGATATTGGTTGAAGATATCGTTAAATAAGACTTTTTAGAGTACGTATGAGGACACTATCCATCGAAAGTCGACGACGTTGGTTAAAATTTTTTACGCGTCGGTTTCAGTTTAATTGGAACGGGTGCTCGCGGAGGGAAAGGGTCCAGCGGGACGGGAAGCACGCTGGGTGCGCTCGTCGGTGGTATAATTGAATTAGAAAAGGGCGAGCAATTGTACTTCATGGTAGGGCAACCAGGAATGGACGCCTGTCCTAAAGTAAGAACCGTTTGTCGCTTGAATTCGCGTCATACACTTCAGAAATGATTAAGAAACGAAATCGTTAGCGGTTAATGGAATTTTCAGAATTTAGGACTGGAAGTGGAGAGCTGTCAAAATATTGAGCCCGAAGAACCTTCCGGACCCCTCTACCCGAAAACAACGTCAAAACTGCACCAATTACAGTCAATTCAGATAAAAGACGGCGGAGGTGGCGGTGGTGGGGCGACTTACGTTTTTAAAGTAAGCGCATAGTTAGCAAATTGAAATTAGGATTCTATCATCAAATCGTCTTTTTGATACGTTACAGTTAAAGAATAATGGAGTGCAACATCCGATACTTATCGCAGGGGGTGGAGGTGGTTTAGGATTGGGGCGATACGTTGACAACGGTGTCCAACATGGACGAGGATTTGCGACCTCCAGAAGACCTGCTTCAGGTTCAGTTTTCTCAACTGAGGCAGGTAATTACACATGTACATTATGACGAACAAGTACGTGTATCAAGTCATCATTTGTATTTAATAGTAACGTAAACGCGGTTCCGTCTGCAGACGTAGGTGGTCCTGGCGGCGGTTGGAACGATTCGTCTAGCAGTTCGGATAAACGATCCTCAGCAGGTGCACCCCTGGTTAAAGGTGGCGTGGGCGGAATTGGTTGCGGCCCGCGGAATCACAGTCACGGTGACGGAGGATTCGGCGGCGGTGGAGGCGGATGTCTTACGGGAGGCGGTGGAGGTGGTTACATAGGTAAAAAATTTCGTTTTTAAATGTCTCCGTTTCAGACTTTTTACGCAAGGAACATTTCCGTTGCATAATTGGTTTAAATAATGGTTTAGGTGGTAATGCTGGTCACGGCGAACCGAACAACGGCGAAGGTGGGTACTCCCACGCCGGCCCTGACCTTATGCACGCTTATTTCCGACGAGAAGTAAACCACGGACCCGGCGAGGTCTACATTATTCCTGCAATCAGCGGTTGCGGTTGCGATTTCCGCTGCGTCTCCCTCGATCAGTACCTCAGCGAGACGAAATGTCTTTGTCCACCGGGTTGGCTGTTGAGCAACAATACGAAATCCTGTATCAGTGAGTCGAGAAAAGTGAAACCATTTTCCGAATTCTCTCATCCTCTTGATTTTTAACAAAAAAAATTGTTTATTTACAGTGGCCGACGACTCTAGAGTTACGCATCAAACGTTCATAATTTTGCTCATAGCTGTAAGCATCGGCCTAGTCTTCGCTTTCACAGCACTCTGTCTATTACTTTGTAAGAAATTATTCACTAATACTGTTGTGTACGTTGTTTACTCCAATCTCAGAGATTCCGTGTTTCCTTAAATCTGCGATTTAGCTCGCTATACAAATTTTGTAATAAACCAATCGTTCGAAGCTAATCATTGATAAATAGACATGAATACTTGGTCGTGAAGATCAATCGTATCTTTTGTCGATAGATAATCGTTACGAAAATCGGAAGAAGCTGATACGACGGCGACAAATTATGTTCGGTAACGGGACCGAGTTAACGTCGCTGCGTGCTGTTTCCGACACTATGATGACCGAATTCAATCCGAACTACGAGTTCGCCGGGAACCTCTATAGCTTTAAAGATTTGCCGCAAATACCCCGTGAATGTATCGAATTGGTAAAGTAAGTATACATTGGCTGACAGTCGTGACCCATCGATTCGACTCGAGCAGGGTCGGATTGAGGAATACAAATGTCTACGTATCTGACGTGACTGAATGGCCTACTGACGGAAACGAGTACGTACTCACATAAAAGAAAGAAACGTAGCCCTTAGCGGCGAGAACCTTAATCCAGCCCTGAGACTTGAAACGAAGCCGAAACAAAAATGTTCGCGTTTCCTTTGCCGTTTAGCGAACGAACTTTTCTCGTTTCGTTCAATTCGAATCTCGTTGCAGGCCCCTTGGTCAGGGTGCTTTCGGCGAAGTATTCCAAGGCGTGTACAAACACAGACGTAACGAAGAGCCTGTTGCCGTGAAAACTATACCCCGTTCTTCTAGGCCTCAGACCGAGGCCGATTTCATGATGGAAGCGTTGATCATGAGCAAATTCAATCACCCCAATATCGTACACTTCATTGGAGTTTCGTTCGATGAAGATCCGAAGTGTATCGTTTTAGAGTTACTTGCGGGCGGAAATTTGAAAAACTTCCTACGGGAAGAAAGACCACGCGCGGTAAATAGCGTTCCTCTTAATCGAACTATACTCTTTGTTACTGCAATGTATTCTTTTTATTTGGAATGGCTACTGGAAAGTATTTTATGCATATCGACTTCACGTTTGTTTTCACCAATACCAATTTTGTAACAGAAAGTCTATTTGTAGCTTTTAGACTGAAGCGTAATGATGTATAAATACTTCCTGTAGTCACTGTGCGCTTAATTATCCTTTAAATTCGAATCAACGAGCTGACATTTCTATTCGAATCCTTATTTGTATTTATGTTATTGTAAGTTTTGTTCACACGACCCGACACGAGAGCGAGACTGATTTTCTAAAAATTACCAATCTTGTACAATCGAATGCTACTATGCAACCGTAACATCTGCGATCGTATGTTATACGCAAACTCTTATAGTAATAAATATACAAAAACCAAAACCAGTTGCACGTACATAGACGCTAAAAACCAGGATCTTTTTTGTATTCATGTAATTCTTTTTACGCATTGAGTTCAGTTAGTTTCTGTTAACTATGCGTTCTTGATCCGATCAGGGCAACCGTTAATTGTTGGGAGTCGTCGTCATTGGGGTGCATGCGTATATTCATATTTTGGCAGGACCGGTCGACCTCGTTAACCATGCTGGATCTGATTATGTGCGGTTACGATGTCGCGAAAGGATGCAAATACGTGGAGGAGTCTCGTTTCATACACCGTGACATCGCTGCCAGAAATTGTTTGCTCACGTGCAAAGGCCCTGGCCGGGTGGTGAAGATCGCCGATTTCGGGATGGCCAGGGACGTTTATAGGAGTGATTATTACAGAAAAGGGGGCAAGGCAATGCTACCCATCAAATGGATGCCCCCGGAAAGTTTCTTAGATGGGATATTCACCACGAAAACCGATGTTTGGTGAGTCGTTTCGAACATTCTTTTCTCAACGACTTTTATAGTAAATAAAATATTTGTCATGTCAATCAGGAAAACGAAATCTAGACGGAAATTTCTACTTGCCCTTCAAAAATGATGTTCTTCTATGTAACATCGGATGCATTCTGAAGTACGTTTAATTTCTCACTGCAGGGCATTCGGCGTACTGTTATGGGAGATCATGTCTTTTGGGTACATACCGTATACAGGATGTACCAACAGAGAAGCTATGGCAATGGTAACATCGGGTGGTCGTTTAGAAAAGCCAGCGGGATGTCCCGACCCTATTTATGGAATAATGACGCGATGCTGGCACCCGCGTCCCGAGGATCGGCCTAGTTTCGCTACTATCGTTGAGAGAATCGGTTATTGCCTACAGGTTAATTGGCTTACCCCGCAAATTTTTTAATTATCAGTTCGTACCACGAGATTAACGTATATTTTTATCCAGGATCCTGATGTCACGAATCATCCAACACCTCACTTTGATATCCTACCGAGTTGCGAGCGCGAAGTGACGATCATGAGACCAGATCCAGAAACAGAATGTATTAATGTACAGTCAGAGGTACTCGTTTGTTTAATATTAAAATCAGGCATCTTGTTAGCTTTGTTATACAGTGGAACGATACGGTGCGGAGATCTATAATTTTAATCCCGCGATAAAGATGAAAATACAGAATATAAAATCTCAATACGGTATAAGAACTCTCATTCTTGTAGCTAGACGCATGCGGATACATGCAGCCAAGAATAATCGATCCACGATCGGCGAGTCAACGCATGGCTCAAGCAATCGCCAGCAATAATCCCACTGGTGCGAACGAAAATCCGAGTCGGATAAATTTGAACGAGAAGAATGACACGCAACCAGCGCAAGGGCGCTTGCAAGGGCGATTCCAATCTAATCCGTATGGATCTCATGCGGACGCTTCCGAGCAAACATTTGACGGAAATACCAATCGCGATAACTTTAACGACAGACATACCGAGGTACGAGTTTCGTTCTTTTAATAGAGTACTATATGTAACCGATGGAAATTTTATGAAAGCGTGTGCTGACGAATTTACAGAGCAAGCCGAAGGCTGACAATTCGAATCGTGACGGGAGAAGCACATGTCGAAATTCAACAGATGTCATGAACAGCGGTAAATCAAGGATCGCGGACAACGGCAACGGTAACAATCGTTCAGCCGATGTCCGGAGCGATCAAAGTAGCATGATGGACGTAACAGATGCGGACAGAAGAAACGGAAACGAGAGCAGGACAGACACGAACTCAGACTCTTTGATCGTCGCTTCGGACACGCCGCCCGACACAACGAATTCTTCGCCGAACACGCGTACCTCCTCCCCTAGTCACACGGGCCTAAATACGAACGTCACTAACGTCAACGGAATGTTAAAGAAAAACGCCCTAAAGGCTGCTCTCAGTTTGGATCCCAGCGCACTGTGCCGCGATGCGATACCATATGAGAAGATACCGTTCTCGCCGCCCCCGCAACGTTCCAGTACCCCTGGTAGTATGGAGATAAAAAAGGTAATAAAATTGTTCAATATTTCTTGGGTAAAATTATTGTTCGTAATTGTTTGACCAAGTATACGTTGTCGTTCATTTAGAATTCATCATTCGCCTTATTAGAGAGTCATTAAAAGTATAAAATTTAAAGCGAATGTGTTAATCGCTTTGATATCCTACACGAAGACGTTTCACTATTCGAATTAGTGTTACATTTTCAGAATATTTTTAATACTATTGGGTAATTAGCTCAAAGTTTGAATGCACAACATTATCTAATAAAAACCTGAATGTTGTGTCTGTTCTTTTCTAATAATCCAGCGAGACTTATTGCTAATATTGGTTTAATCTATTAGTTCTATGTATGATGGAACTATCGTCTCTCTGTTCTTCACACGAAGGATCCTTTGGCGCTGAGCCATGAACTACCGAGGGAAGCGGAATGCTCCTGCTGAGATTTGTACAGGGGGGAGTGACAAAACTCCCCGGTTCTCGTCGTCGACGTGCTACCAACACGATCGAGCAACTACAACGTGAAGACCATGCGACGTTCGGCAACGATAACCGCTGGTTCGATAGCTACGCGTTTCAAGGAATCCTCGTCGGTTCTGTGGATACGAGACGAACATGCGCGTCGTGTTTACTCCGAGGAAACGCTACTATAAACGAATACGTACTACGAATCCGAGGAAGTTTATGAATTGGCACGATTCGTTTAATCAAAGACCGTCTGATCGAAGTCACGAAACAAGGTTTAACTTTACTTTGAAAAACACCGAACATGTCTTATAATTTTCTTAGCTTAAACATCTTTCTGATGGATATGAATGATAACGAGCCTTGTTTAATTGATTAACTTTTTCAGCATGTAATCGATAGTACAAAGATTATTGACGTTCAATTGAAAGTTTCCTTCCACAAATGTATATGTACCTGTTACTTTGTTAATAAAAGACTAGGAGACGTTATCGTGACTGATTACAGGGTCTCCACATGTGTCCTTTGTTTATTTTTTTTTTTTACTTTAACAAAGAACTGACTTCGTCCATGCAAGAGGGAAGAGTTTAATTGCGTTTACTAAATGGACGGTCACGCGTTCTGCGCTCCGTTTAAAAATGAAACCATAAAACTGTTCGTGTCTGTGGATGATGTATAAAAATTTCCGTTGACGAGTTCGCGTCGAGAAAGCGGAAGTACTGAGTACAAGGAATTGCAATAACACGTGAAACACTACGAGCTTGAGACCGTCCGTTGTTAAATTCAACTGATTCCTCTTTCTCCGGATTCGTGAACACGCGGCTCTCACGCGGATGTGACGAACACACGCGCCGCTGCGTGATCGTTATGCATATGCATCTATTTAAGTATATACATATAGGTATACGTAAATGTACATGTATGAAAGAAGAGAGAGAAAACAGATGTAAGGACGCTAGATGTGTTTTTGGATTCACGCATAGAAAAGTAGAGGAAAATGTAAATCGTTAAATCTAAAAATGAATATCATCTCGCATCTGTATACTCCTTGTGATTAGATTGCTACATACCATGAAGATCGTGTTTCCTTTTACGAGTTTCAATTGATCGGGCCTAAATCATCAGAATTTCTAATTCGAATTGAGGAATTGCGTAAACAGCATTCCAATTATTAATCACTTTTATACATATATTTTCATTTTCTCCCGCAATCACGAAGGGATTGAATAAAACAGTGTGGAAATGATTTCAAACGAAAATATGCAGCAATCTACTGACGTTAACTATCAACAGGTACATAAAATCGGAATTACAAATATACACGTATACCAACATAAACGTACATATTAACGAAATTATTGAGCGGTACTATATGTGAACATAGCTGTTGACGAAGTATTACCATCGATGTTCCTCCTGCAGAAGGATCAACAGAAATTATGTATAATCGAGAGATCCTCCTCGTCATCTACAAAAAGTATATGCAGGGCGATCGTCAGTAATCATATTGTGGTGTGCGAAACTTTTTTTAAGAACGAGTGCTATGTACTTTATGAATTACATACTTTATTTAGTACATACATGTTATACGATGTGCATAAACACTTAATACGTGATATAAAATATATAATACATAACGTACATAGAATAAATTTAAATAAGATTATGAGTATAAATGTGTGTGTGCGTGTGTGAGAGAGAGACAATACGTTATACACAAGACTTGATTTACACCAAAGAAAGAGAAAAATGTACGCCTTCAGCGATCTTTCTACACATACCTGTAAACCTTTATACATATACATATACATATATATATGTATATATATATATATAGTTATATATTTATCATGTAATTCCAGACAAGGCTGGTCTAATCGCCTTCATCCTTGATATGTATATATATACATATATGTATTATAATTCGGAAAAATCGATATATTACCGGACAACGATCTAATAATTTCTCCACGAAAATGGGAATGGTTTAATTACACTGGTTAACAAAGTCCTCGTCAATGGAATCATTTCTTACGGGCCTAGTCAACAAACGTACAATCTGCAATCATTCTTTTTCTATTGCTCATAATTTTTATGCCCTCTATTTAATAATTAGCATATTTATATAATTATTGTTGTTTGTTCCTCGATTACGGAAATTCGAAGTCTCTTCGCTCTTCAGAGATTTATATGGTGAGAAAGAGAATTTGTAAACCAGTGTTGTTAGAAGAAGAGGCTGAAGATCGATGTCGAGCCAATTATGTTCGTCAACTCGATTAGCATCATCGTTCTCGCCGTGAAGACTACCTGACTGTTGGTGCATAAAGAAAAAAAAAAGAAAAAAAGAATGAATAATAGGATATCCTCGTCTACCTCGTTGACTCGTTGTTAATTTGTGGAAGAACGGTGGACGGTGGAAGGTCCACTATTTTAGAACATCGATCTCGTTGAGCACGATTACCGCCGTGAGCATGGGCTGATGAAAAGATAAAGCTTTCGACAATGCAACAAAAAAAAAAGAAAAACAAAATATGAAAAAGAGCACAGGCCCTTTTTTATTTTTCTTACAACAACGACGTACTTTACGTACGCGCAGCGTATGAAAGTCAACAACGGTATTATCTGTACGTAAAACGTAATAAAGACATGTTTGTGGAAAAAATTAACTATCATATCTCAGTTGCATGATCGACTAAAGGAATGCGGGTTAAATTCAATTGCCATAGACGAGATCGTCAAATTAATTGAAACTATACTTGGCAATGAGTAAAATTAATACGTAGTATTAAGTTTGATTAAAGAATTAGATTGCGTCGCAATTGGAGCGCGGCGTCTTTCGAAACGGGACGTTTAAGACATTCCTAATCGATGAAACGAAAATAACATTGTCATACGAACAACAAGATGGTAGGTTAGCTAGGTCGGCCAGTCGAAGAAACGTTCAGACGTCTGGACATAGGTAGATATGTACATACATACATAAACGAAAACTGCAAACAAACGGATAGCAGCAGCCGCAGCAGCAGCAGCAGCAGCAGCAGCAGTAGTACCAGACACCGGTGGAATGAAGAAGAAGGAAGGAAGGGGTACCGACGACAATTTGAGTTTAGTTTTCAGTGAACGAGCATACGTTTCTGCCTCCCTTGCGAGAATCTCGCGTCCCAGACCGTAGCGTAGGTAGTTCTGCGGCTATATTTACCGCCACGGTAGTGTCTTTATCAGGGAAATGTCGAATTATTCCTATTACTACGTGAAAGTAATCGGCAACGATACCGAGAACTCGAGAACGTATAAATTCTTAAAAGGGTAAGGAGCTGTTACAATTCTTGATCAGACGAATTCACTTTCATCACTCGCTCTGTCACCCGTATCGAATGAGTAGTTTGTCAATGCTTAAGACCGAGTGCGGTAGTTGAGGAACGTAAATGATCATAGTGAAAGCTTGTGTCACGAGCTCGAGAATCGTAAAGAAGTACGGTGCGGCGAGGACGAGTACACGTGGTTCGGACTGATATCCTACGAACGACATGGCCGTTTATTTCTTCAGGAATAGTAATTTATTCGTAGGGATCGTACCCTGTTTAAGCCCCCGGAGGACACATGGTCCACGCATGGTCGCTACAATCTTCTCACACGGTTACTACGAGGAGGACTATCCGGTTCGGGTGACGTTCATCACCCAGCAAACGCCGTTTTCAAGGTCCGTGCTCGGTTAGTCGAATACTCTTAATTACATACAACCGCGTGTAGAAAACGAATATTTTTCTTATTTATTCTTCTTTATTTTAAATTTAATATTATTCACTGATTACGAATGCTTGAAATAAAAGTGTAACAATGAAATGTCTTTCTCTAACTTCTGCTTATAATAAATATGAAAGAAATAACATGTGCCAATAACCATAATTGAGGACATGAGAGATTTAAAATAAAATAATGAGCTGACGATTCGTATTTATTAAAATTCATCTATCAAACAGACGTTACCATCGAAATGAATTCAGCACAAGTATACTGAAGTCAAGCCGACGATGGCCGAGCATAATGTCAGTGGGGGGGAATTCTTTTTTATCTTTTTTTCTCCCAAGCACCATTTGGAACGCCGCCAAATTCAGCTTTAACGCTTTAACATATGATACATAAAACGAACCCCCTCGAGCGCGATCCCGGTTCTAACGTGCAACGAATTCATATTTTTAGGTTCGCTTACTGCCAAGGTTATTACCCAGTTTCCCCGTCGTTACGTTTCGCAAAACCCGCTAATGCAAGCCTTGTCTATCGTGTATTTATTTGTTCTGTAAATCAATTCGCCTTTTTAACCCGTCAAGAATTGATGTATTAATAATCCAACTGTAATACTGTAATTCAATGGATACTATCTGACAAATATTTATTAAGCTGTCTAATAGTAGTAAATATCGTTTACATGTTCAAGATAAATTGCGAAGATGCGTGTCAGTAATGATTCTGAACGACATACGTATATATCATTGTCTATTGCCCGACGCACATCCTTGCACAGTAAATTACTGTGCAAGACGTAGTTATATATTAGACTCGAAACGCTGCCCGCCATAGATTTAACCGAAAATCTTACATTTTATTTGTTAATTATTATGTGTCTGAATACGAGTTTAAATTTATTTGAACAAGAGAATATAGGCAGCTGTACTAATTTTGACTCTATTAACTGAACGAACAGGAAAAGCAAATCGAATTGGAGAATTCCATGTGATACAAGAAAGAGTATGGATACAGTTCAAAATATTTAAAGAAATTTGGAATCTTTTTCGTTCCTCGAGAGTTGCGATCCATTTTCACACGAATTCGTTCTATTTTTGTGAATTTAAAAATGATGCGAATGAGACTGAAACTGAATATTCGGATTTCCCCGGATGATATCGTGCCAACGCTGGAAGAACTAACTTTACAATTTCCTGGAACAATAAACTTCTGAGTATTATAATGTAACCGTGCCAATACTTCCAATAAAAGCAGACCTTTATTTGTTTAACCATGAAAAAGGGGGAAATTAGATTAGTACCACGTGAACAAGTCTGCGAGCTACTGTATACACGCAAGGTTCCACACGCTATACCCCTGGGGTCGTGACGTCGTCGTCAACGGCGCCGCATGGCGCGGGAGAGGATGCAATTCGTTCCAGACCAGGTCATCTCTCTCTCTCTCTCAGGAAATATCAGTCAGTGTAGTGCGAGCATTCCTACCTCAAAGACGCTTCCGCGCTATCTCCGATCAGTTTTTCAACTTCAGAGCACGAGTTTTATCTTCAAACCAGCTTAATTAATTTCATAGTACTAGAAGATTTATCTACTTTTTCTACGATATATAGTGCGAATATTGTCCGTGATAAGTGTTGAGAGATAGCGTGAAACATATTTGTCGTTAACGAAAGATTGGATGTTCATTGAGGAAATGAATTTCGATTGAGCCCTTGATTCGGGAAAGAGGGTGAGGCTTCTGTCATAGTGACCTTGACATAATGCAACTAATGCCTGTGTAGGGGTGTAACCACTGATCGATATTCACTCTTTCTGCACATGTATTTCGTAACAAGCTACTTATCGAAACTGTGTTTAAACTACTGAGACTAACATTACATTTGTTAGTCCATTTGTTCCCTTACGAATGTCTAAACTTTCTGAGCGACATTATAAAAATAAAAGCAGCATTTATTTAAGATAAAGCAGTTAGCTTTTGATTTGTTTCTTATTGTTTTCTTATTCTTGGAAAGATTGTACAATTGATTCCTATAATTAATAATAGTGAATTTCCTCAATAATTTATTAGGATGAGTCGGACTTTGGAGATAAAATATTTTGATACTGTGCCTCGTCTTGTTTGATTACTCTAAATTGTGCAATTGTGTAAATAGGCAATTTTCTGTTACCTATCACTATTACTGTCCATCACATGCTATTATTAAAAATTGTACGAGTATATAATTTCGTAATTGATACCGCCGGCTTGTGAGTATTCGAACGCTTCTTACAGATATCTATGACTATATTACTACATCGGTAAAATTTAAAAGGAATCTGATAATTTACGTAGGAGTTACAAGGCTACTTATTATCTACATACGTTCGTCTGTTTACGTATTTTGCACAGATTATGAAACTGAATTAACATCTGTTAGATATTATATTAACGGGCTTACTCAGTGTGACCG